CATTAATGGCATCTTGCACCTCATCCAGTCTGCTCTTAAGTCCTTCCAGAGATTGTTTTATTTCTGTAGTCTCCCTCCATACTTGCTCATTTGGCTCTTGCATATTTCTCTGCAGGTCCATCAGCATGGTTATGACCTTAATTTTGAATTATTTTTCAGGAAGATTGGTTAAATCTATCTCCCCAGGCCCTCTCTGGGGGTTTATCTGGGTAATTCTGGGCTGGACCAAATTCTTCTGCCTTTTCATGGTGATAGAGGTAGCTGTAGACAGGTAGCACGTGTGTCAGCTGGGAGAACAAAGTCCTTTACTGTTTGCTGGTCGCTTTGCCCTTCGCAGCTGCCTGTGTCAGTTACCCACACTCCTGGAGCAGCCTCAGGATTAATCCCCTAAGCTGCCATGGGTGGGGTCACCATCAGGGTAGCCCAGAGCCCTGCGGGGAGTGGCAGGCGCACCGGGTGTGCTCTCCTGCAAGAGCTCCGCCCCTTTGCACCTTGCCCCCATTTCTTCTGCCTGCGCCTGGCATCTGCACGCTGGCAGTGGCCTTTGGGTCTAGCCCGGGTGGCTGCGCACTAGGAGGAAATTCTGGGAAGCTGCTGGGGGTGCAGCTGCTCCTGGGCCATTCTACCACCATACAATTTCGGGCTCGTACGACTGCTCCTTGACAAGGGTGTGCGCGGTGGCTCTCAGGCTACTGGACCACTGTTTCGGGGCTGAGGTGGCCAGGGGAACTACTGGCAGGCTGCTTATTGCTGTGAGGGGCTCAGAGCTGCACTGCTGCCCAGGGATTTAGGGCGCCTGGAGTTCCCAAGGATTCCCAGCTGCTGGGCTGAGTGTGCCGGGATGATTCCGTACAGCTGTGAGGTCCCTGTCCCTTTAAGACTTTCAAAAAGCACTTGCTTTTCTTTTGTTCCAGGGGAGCTGGCTGTGGGGACCTGCTTGCAGATTTTGCTTTTCCGTTTCTCTAATATCCACCACACCCTGCACTGTGTGTCTGTGCTCCCAGTGCGGATTACTAGAGCTGGTTATTTAGCAGTCCTGGGCTTCCCCTCCCTCCCCACTCCGACTCCTTTCCTCCAGCCAGGGAGCTGGGATGAGGGGCGCTTAGGTCCCACTGGGCCATGGCTTGTATCTTACCCTCTTCATGAGATGTTGAGTTCTCGCAGATGTAGATGTAGCCTGGCTGTTGTACTGTATCCACTGGTCTCTCTTTTAGGAATAGTTGTATTTGTTGTATTTTCAAAAATATATATGGTTTTGGGAGGAGATTTCCACTGCCCTACTCATGCTGCCATCTTGGTTCCTCTTCTCCTTTTGTTTTATATGTCTCTTATAAACAGCTAATAAATAGTTTTTAATCTAGTTTCAAAATCACTGTCTTTTAACTAGAGCACTGAGTCCTATTTACACTTGCTATATATTTGAGTAAACTAAATACACTAGCTTTTGTGTCCCATCAGTTCAACATTCCTTTACCTCTCCTTTCTTCTTTCTTTTTGGATTAGTTTTTCCCCTTTCTACTAGCCTAGAAATTACCCAATATGTTGTCTATTCTCTTCGTGGTTATTCTAAAAGAGCATCATCCCATAGCACATTCTGTAATAATGGAAATACTAGAAGATTTTGTTGCCCATTAAGATATCCACTAGCCACATGTGGCTACTGAGCAACTGAAATGTATCTAGTGCAACTCAGAAACTAAAATTTAATTAAATTCAAATTTAAACAGCCACACTTGGCTCTCATCTTGGAGAGAGAAGTTATAGAACTTCTATAAGTAGTTATTATAGAACTATAAGAAATAGTTCTTATTGACAATAACAAAACCCAAATTACACAAGAAGCAAAAGTGAAATGTCAGGTAATTTCCTAAAATCAATGATATAGGCCAGCCCTAAACTGAAGGTTATTTAGATAAGGGAAACCTGGGAGACCTGCAGCTACCCCTGCCATATCAAAGTCAGAAGTTAATACTCTCTCTTCTTGAACAATTTAATTTAAAAATTAAATTCCAGGCCCTTAGAATATTTTACCCTCCTCCCAACTTATGTTGTTATTTTTGTACTTGCTAATGTTCTTTTTTAAAACTCCAAAAAGTGCTATTATTTGATACAGTTAACAATTATTTATATTTATCCACATATTTATCACGCTATTTTTTCTCCATTTATTCTTCCTTCCATCTGGAACTACTTTCCTTTTTCCAAAATCCTTGTTTAGAATTTCCATGAATGATGGTCTACTGGCAGGAAACTTTCTTAATTAATTTTTAAAAATGACCTTGTTTTGCTCCATTCTTGAAAGATAATTGTTTGGGAATAAGATTATGGGTTAGCATTAGTCTTCTTAAAGCACACTGAATATATCATTTCCACTGTTCTGATGTTCCAAACTGGCTTCCCATATTGCTCTTACAGAGTTAATTATGAATTAGTAATGGAGAAATAGCTTCGCAGTGGCTGAATTCTGGTGCCCACTATCCAGACACTACTGCTATTTATTTGTAGGACACATCATCAGAATACAAAGAACTAGCCAATCTTGAGAGATACTTCATACAGACCTATGGATTTCAAACCTTTGCCTTGTTCTTTTTTCTTTTTTAACAGCAAAATCCTTCTGTCACAAAACAAGTAAAACAGATAAAAATCATAGCTTTCAGGTTCTTTCAAGAGTTTGAAAGCTACTGTGTAGACCAAAAGTATGATAAACAATTTCTGTCCTACATTAGAGTATATTTTTTTCTTTAAGTATATGAATTCAACTGTTTACTAGATAACATATAGCTACATACACAGTCAGAGGGATGATCTGAGTCCAATTTTTAAGAACTCAGGCTTAAGTACCTCAGCTTATTAAGGCCATCAGCTCATTCTCAAGAATATAGGCTACATAGGATTTTATCTGCCAGGCTTCAACATGGCTCACTTGGATATGTAAAATAAAGGACATGTTTAGACTTTGATGATATTCTCAGAGACAGAGTGCCAATGAAGATACAGACACTCTGCGTACAGTGATCTTTCATTGCCCAAAATAGCAGTTGCTATTACCAATGTACAGGGAAGAAGAAACACTGCCAAATCCTTGCTACTGTGGCCTCTCCTTTCCCAAATTAATGCACATATGCTTCATTCCATGAGTCAATATTTACTGAGGACCTATTATGCACCAGGCACTACTCTAAACAATGAGAAATAAGAGCCCAACACTCATAAAACATATATTTTAGGGAGAGATGACAGTCAATCAAGTAAAGAAATAAACAATAATTCCAGAGAATGATAAGCAATTAAGAAAAAAAACGGTCATGGGAGAGGAAATGACTGGGGAAAAGGTGGGTGACTAATTTCAGTAAATCGGCTGGGTGGGTGCAGGGAGAGTCCTCTCTAATGGGGTGATGTTGACCTAAGACCTAAATAATGAGGAACCAGAAATGTGAAGATCTGGGAGAATAATGTGATAGGGTAGTACAACAGTGTTCCACAGTGAGCAATCAGCTAGTATAAAAACCTGACATGTCTGAAGAACAGGAAGGCAATTAGTGTTGTTGGAGGATAGTAAAAGAGCAGAATTATATAAGGTGAAGCTGGACAGAGTGTAGATCATGCAGCATGCCACAAAGACTCTAATAAGGATTTTGTATCTTATTTTGGTTACATCAGAGGCTTTTCATGAAAGACAGAGGGCACAGGGATAATGAGGAGGATTTATTTTATAAAGATCCCTCTGAGTGCCAAGACAATTCAGTGGGGGAGAGAAAAATCTTTTGATGAAATGGTACTAGGACAACTGTATATCCACATACAAAATAAAGTTGGAACCCTTTCTCAAACCACATACAAAAAATCAACTTAAAATGGATTATATTCCTAAATGTAAGTACTAAAATTATAAAACTCTTAGAAGATGATGTAGGAGTAAATCTTTTTAACTTAGGATTAGGCAAAGCCTTCTTAGGTAAGGCACCAAAAGCAAAAGCAATAAAAGAAAAAACAGATAAACTGGACTCCATCAATATTAGAAACTTTTGTGCTTCAAAGGATACCATGAAGAAGGTGAAAAGGCAACCCACAGAATGGGAGATAATATTTGCAAGTCATATATCTGACAAGTGATTTATACCTTGAATATATAAAGAACTCAATGCAACTCAGTTAAGAAAAAGGCAAATAGCCCAATTAAAAATGGGCAAGGGATGTATAGACATTTCTCCCAAGAAGATATACAAATGGCCAAAAAGCACATTAAAAGATGCTCAATATCAGTCATCAGAGAAATGCAAACAAATTCACAGTGAGATGTGAGATACAACTTTCCACCTACTAGGATCACTATAATAAAAAAGACAGATAATAACAAGTGTTGGTGAAGATGTGGCTCAACTTTGTAGTTGGCCTCTAACTCTTCAAGTTATAGTCAAAAGTCTTGGGCAATTTAGAAGTTTCAGGGACTGTGCCCTTAACCTCACAAGTTGGCTAATTCCAGGTAAAAGCACAAAAATATGTTTCAGAATATAAACCTAGATTAATTTGAAAATTAATACATTTTTACTACATTTATGTTTATATAATTTAAAATTTTCTACTTACCTGTGGATCCACTAACCACCCATGGTACAAAGGAATATCAAGAAGATCAAATACTATGCATTCTGGTGTATACTCAAACACTCGAACCCCAGTGAATTTTACATTTACATCCAAGCCTGTCTGTAGTTTGTGCAAGACTGCCATAGCATCACTCATATTCTGAAAATAGAAAGGGAAAGGGGAAAGATGAGAAAAATCAAATAACAAAACAGGTATTTAAATGCAGGCATATTTACTTCTGATTTTACATTTTATCTAATTTATTCACCCCTTCAACCAATTTTTGTTATTAAGTACCTACTATATGCCAGGCACTAATCTGAGTTCTTTAAATATAATAGTGAATAAGCAAATTTCCTTATCTCATACAACTAATATTGCACTATGAGAGACAAACACATAAACACATAATAAAATGTCAAGTATTAGTAAGAAAAATGGAGCAAGGTAAGAAGGTACAGAGTGACAGGAGAGAAGGACCTATTTCTGACCAGGAAGACTAAAATCAAGTTTCTAGTAAAGAGGAAGGCCTCTCTCACTTCTCAGTATACCTCCAAAAGAATTGGAAGCAGCATCCTGAAGAGTGATTTGCACACCTGTGATCACAGCAGCATTATTCACAATAGCCAAGAAGTGGAAGCTGCCCAAATGTCCATTGACAGGTGAATGGATAAAGAAATTAGGATATATAAATACAATGGAATATTATTCAGCCTTAAAAAAGCAGAAAATTCTATTAAATGGTACAACATGGATAAAACTTGAAGATGTTATGCTCTGAAATATGCCATGGCAAAAAGATAAATACTGTATCATTCTACTTTCATGAGGTATCTATAGAGCAGTCAAAATCATGGAAACAGAAAATAGAACGGTAGTTGTCAGGAGCTGGGAAACTGTTCAATGGGTATAGAGTTTCAGTTTTAGAAGATGAAAATGTTCTAGAGATCTTTAAACAATAATGTGACTACAGTTAACATAATTGCACTATACAGTTAAAAATGGTTAAGAGTAAATTTTATGTTTTTAATGACAGTTAAAAAAAAGACAAAGAAATGCACTTATCAAGTTGTGAAAAGTCATGGAGGAAATTTAAATGTATATTACTAAGTGAAATGGCTGTATACTGTATGATTCCAAGTGACATTGTGGGAAAGGCAAACAATGGAAGACAGTAAAATGATCAATGGTAGCCAGGGGTTAGGAGATGGGAGGGGTGTACAGGCAGAGCACAAAGGATTTCTAGGGCAGTGAGCCTATTTTGTATGATACTATAATGGTAGATACATATCCTTATACATTTGTCAAAACCTATAGAACATATAACACCAAGAGTGAGTCATAATGTTTATTATGGACTTTGGGTGATAATTATGTGTCAATGTGGGTTCACAAATTATAACATGTATCACTTTGGCACTGAATATTGGTAGTACGGTGAGGGGGAACTCTATTTTCTACACAATTTTCTGTGAATGTAAACTGCTTTCAAAAAAAGGGTGTGTGGTGGTGGAGTTGGGGGAGGCCTCTTTAAATGTAATACTTAAATAGCAACCAAAGCAAAATACTGAATCTTGGGGAAAAAAGCATTCCAGACAAAATTATTTGTTTTCAGCCGGTACAGTCTCTGAGAATGGAATTTTATAAGTTATTTCATAAAACAGAACTTTGTTCTTACGACCCAAATTTCTCTTTTCTGGATTTCAGGGAGTCCCTAGTTATAATATAAAAGGATTTCATATTCACTCTTTCCGCTATTTGCCATCCAGTAGGTATAGTCTACTCCTATTTTGTATCTCCAGTATGTAGGACAGAGCAAAACTTAGTACAAATCAGTCTGGACACTGGTGCAAAAACTGTGATGCATAAATTAGTTCAGTACTGTGTCCATGTAACAGCAAGGAATCCAAAATAACTAGAACAAATTAATGAAGTAGAAAGTGGTGACAGATGAAGTCTGAGAAAAAGAGACTGGATCACAATGATTTGTTTGCAAAATTATGGAAGTCATTCTGCCTACATCAGTTTTCTCAATAAGTATGGTCATATAAGTCTGGAATGAAGACTATTCTAAAACATGTTTTTCTAAACATTTTAATTTAATACATTAAATATGGGCATACTTATAGAGGATATATTTGATGGAACAAATAAAAGCCAATATATAAAATTTAATAAAATTTTACTGAATCTATTTTTAATCAGATACTGTGCTACATACTGAAGATACAAAATAAGAGTAGACTATAGCCTACTGGAGGGCTAATAGTGGAAAGGGTGAATATGGAATCTTATGTTATAACTAGGAACTCTCTCTGAAATCTGAAAAAGACAAATTTAGGTCATAAGAACAAGGTTTTGTTTTACCAACTAACTTACAGAATTCCATTCTAAGAGACTATATAGACTGAAAACAGAAACTATCCAAATGTTTTACATTTATGAATGGAGACTTTATAAGAGAATAACACTATTATATAGTCTTTGGCTTTCATCACTTCTTCCTAATAACTATGTTTCCTCCAAAACAATGTATTTCTCAATCTTTCCAAAAGTTGAACCCATGAAAACAAACCAGCTCACATTTTTTTATATTTACAAATATATTTGCGATCATTTAAAAGCCCATCATAAACACAAAAATGTACACACATAGTGTTTTCAGGTAATCTATCATTAAGCAAAAGGAAAACATATGCTCTTTGTTTTCATTGTAATTTCTAGTAAAGCGATTTTAACTAGGAAGATTGCAGCTCTGCATTGGTCTTTCTAAAATTTAGGCTTGAATGAATATTTCTGCTCACATAAGACTATACAAAAAAGAACACTATTAACATGGCACATATGGAACATTAAACAAGCTTAGACTCAGCCACAGCAGCTTAGTATATACTATTCTCAAAATTAATGTGCTTTAATCATAGTATTTCATAGTTTTAGAACTTACTTTAAAGGCAGGGTAGTTTTTATCTGACATGTTTATAAGAAATGCAAGCAGTTTTTAGATACTGTTTGCTTCAACTATGAAACAAAACTGTACTTATAACATATGTATCACTTTGGTACTGGATATTGGTAGTACAGGGCTGTATCTAGTATCTGGATCACTTTAATGAAAGTGTATTCTCAGACTGCAAGATGGACTTGAAACAAACAAAATGCTGGTGTCATTTGTAAACACTCATCAATCAAGATTTTCTCAGGACCGTACAACAGAAATAAATTTGAGACTGATATGAAACTGCAACTATCACCCAGAATTCTTAATTTTAAGTATTTGTATTAATCAAAATAGCCTCACTGATTTAAATAACATATAAATTTGATAAATGATATAAATTGATTATCACTTTATACTTATAAAATATAATTTACAGATTTTATATATTAGAGGTTAGCATAAGATTTCATTTGAAACAGGTTTCTACTGTGAAAAATGTTTGGAAATCATTGCTTTAAGCTAAAAATTCCAATAGAATTTAAATGATTTATCATAACAATTTGGCTTAGCTATAGATTTCCTATTATTCAGTGATGCAATGTAACATGTTGGCTTTTTTATTCTATTAGGACTAGATCATTAAAACATTAAAGCCCAAGAAATTTTGCTATACTGAGTTTTGCCTCCTTTTTGCCAATTTGATACTGGTGAAAGTATGTAAAAAAGGTTGCTTTGAAAGTAAATACTAAGATTCCAATGATGTCTATTTCTTCTCTAATACTTCCTTCCACTGTAAGAACCTGATTCCTTCTTGCCTTCTATTGGCAAACAAAGGAAAAATATAGAAGAAAATGAAGTTCTGTTTGCTTTCTTCCATCTCCAAGAGTTTCAGGCATAGTGACCCCTCCTATGTTACAGAACAGAATCCCTAAAGACTTGTCAAGAAATGAGGACACACTGAAACTACAAAACAGCATATTTTGTCCTAATGACATATCCCAGACATCATTTGCTCACATTTCTATTAAATATAAATTTTAAATATAAACAAAGTGAGGAGAGATGACTCAGTAACAAATTCACTTGAAAGTCAATTTTTTAAGGAAAATACCAGGTTACCATTATATATAGTCCTATAGAATGGTATCTATGGTTCATTCTATGTAGCATATATGTTCACATAAAAAAACAGAGATTGGCAAAGTATAGCTGTGGGCCAAATCTGGCTCTGAGTTATGAATTGTTTTTACATTTTTAAAGGGTTGTGAAACAAAAGAAAACAAAGACTATGCCTACAAAGCCACTGACAGAAACCAATGAATATATCCATAAATTAAAAATTACATATTTTAATATAACAAAAATTGTGTCTATTACCTGTTCATAGTTTAAACGTTGAATTTCTGAAATTTCTTTTGGCTTTGCATCAAGCATATAATCTCCTGTAAAGAGAAGTTGTGAAGTTACCCTTTTAAAATATTACTTTTTTTACTGTTTATAAAGGTAACAGATTTTAATTATAAATTATAGAAATAGGTGACATAAAATTGACCATACATTTCTATTTCAACTGATCCCCATTTGTATTCAGAAAAAATCCATGTTAACTATTTGCTACAGTCTCACATATTTTTTTAATGTATAAAATTCTTTTGAGCTTTTTCTTCCACCTTGAGCGTCTTTCATGTCACCACAATAAAGCTCTAAAAAGGTTGTACCTAGTTCATTGCTATCAACAATGTAACAACTATTACCCCATTACTTTTCTAAGAATGGGTGTTATCAGTCTTCTAAATATTTGCCATCCTGTGAAGTAAACACAATTGTTTTGCATTAAAAAATTTGATGTTTTATACATGTATTATTTGGTATCACCTTTTTAATATGACTATTAGTATATGTGCCAGCTTTTATATATATGTAGCACCATTTTAATATATGCAGTACCTTTTTATCTATGTTTTGCCTCTTACTTACTTTTCCAAGAATGGGTGTTATCAGCCTTCTAAATATTTGCCACTCTGGGAAGTAAACAAAATTGTTTTTGCATTTAAAAAATTGATGTCTTTTATATATGTATTTTTATTTTCTATCACCTTTTTAATATATGTATGACTTTTAGCATATATGCCACCTTTTAAATATTTATAGCACCATTTTAATATATACCTCTTTATATTTTGCCTTTAAATTATGTATTATATATATATTTCTTTGCTTGTCTATATAAGTATCATTTTTTCCTGCTGAGTTATAAAAGCTCTTTTACAATTAGAGGAATTAGAACATTTCCTGTTATATGTGGTAATTTTTCTTCCCCTCATATTGGCTTCTGACTTTATGGTGATCCTTTTATGTCTATTTTTTTGCCATATGGTAATATTTGCTTTTATGGTTT